CTCCCGGATACTATCTGATGTGTGGATCTAGAATGAGTCCTTCGGTTCGGTGTGGCGTGGGCTTTTATTCATTTATCAAGATGGGTCGACGAGGCTTGGTCGTGCAGCGCCTACACGTTCACTCTTTTTAACCGACTGTCCTTTCGCTATGTCTGCACGCAGGCCTCTGTTGTTTCTAGCTGCAAACGCTATCGGCGCTCTTGGAAGTCCGGTTGCTTTCCGCGATGTCGCACCTGCCGCCGCCACAGTCTCCACGAACTCGCCTGCCGGATTTGCGCTTTTCCCGAACGAGGCAGTCCAATTGACCGACGACGCCCTGAATGCGGCTGCTCGCCAGACGAGTGAGATTGATGTAGTTTCACTACTTGGCTTCGACAATGAGGAGGAGACGACGCATGGAATCAGCAGCGGCCAATGCAAAGTCTTTCCGGGCGATTCCGATTATCCGGAAGAAAGCATATGGTCTACCTTCGACAACCTGCTGGGAGGAGCGCTCATCAAGACGACTCCCATCGCTGCGCCATGCTACAAGGACTCGGCCTGGAATGACTACGATGAGGCGAAATGCGCAGATATCTCTGCTAGATTCACGACATCCGATCTCCACACGAGTGACCCGACCTCGATGATGTGGCCGCTCTTCCAGGGCCGTACATGCATGCCTACCGACGACCCTAGTGGCACCTGTACGATAGGCGGCTATGCATCTTACTCCATCGACGTTGAGAATGTCGCCCAGGTGCAGCTTGGTGTCAACTTTGCTCGCAACATGAACCTCAGGTTGACTGTTAAGAATACTGGGCACGACTACATTGGCAAGTCGACTGGCGCGGGTGCTCTCAATATTTGGACACACAATCTCAAGGACATCCGGTTCATTGAGAAGTACGACTCGGATGAGTACAGCGGCCCGGCGTTCAAGGCTGGTGCTGGTGTCCAAGGGTTTGAGATCCTGGAAGCTGCCCGCGATCACGACGTGACGGTTATGGCTGGTATCTGTGAAGTAAGTCATCACGGTACACTGTATATCGGAGGCGCAACTACTAACCCTAGATGTAGACTGTTGGATGGAGTGGTGGCTATGTCACCGGAGGTGGCCACTCACCTCTCGCGTCCATCTACGGCATGGCCGCTGACCAAGTTCTCGCCTTTGAGGTCGTCACCGCCGATGGGCGTTTCGTAACCGCCTCTGATTCCAGCAACTCCGATCTCTTCTGGGCTCTTCGCGGAGGAGGCGGTGGAACGTTTGGTGTTGTAACCTCAGTCGTCGCCAAAGCCCATCCGAGAATACACGTCACCAAATCTGTCTTCTCTTTCCAGGCCCCAGTCAACGACTCTGCCAACTTCTGGAAGGGCATCAACGCTTACATGAAGCGATTCCCCGAGTACACCAACGCTGGCACCTATTCGTACTTCTGGATCTGGAACTACGGTACGACACTCGACTTCCAGATGACTCCCTTCTTTGCGCCGAACCACACCATTGAGTCCTTCAATGCGCTCACCAAAGACTTGTTTGACGACTTCAAAACTTTCAACATCTCGGTAACCCCCAACACGACCTTCCACGACGACTTTTATTCTGCCAACAAGGGCTCGTGGGGTGCGGATACGCTCGGCGTGACCACCATTCGTCAAGCTACCCGTCTCTTCCCCAAGAGCCTTTGGGCGACCGTGGAGAAGTTCAACTCGTTCTACACCACCGTCAAGGACACCGTGATGAATGGTCATACGGTCGGTGGTTATCACATGGCTCCAGGTAACCCTTTCAACGTTGACAATGCTGTCAATGAAGCGTGGCGCAACACCCAGTCTTTCTTGATCACCGCGAACATGGTTCCTGAGAACGCGACGCCCGCTCAACTGAAGGAAGCATCCGACTACCTTACGTACGACATCATGGACTCGTGGCGTGCAGTCGCTCCGGCGTCCGAGGGTGGCGGCGTCTATCTCAACGAGGCGGATATTCAAGAGCCAAACTGGCAAATCGACTTCTACGGCGCGAAGAACTACCCCAAGCTTCTCGCGATCAAGAAGAAGTGGGACCCCAAGGGCGTCTTCTACGCGACCACAGCCGTTGGCAGTGAGGACTGGGAAATCAGGGATGGCGAGCAAGGGACTCAAACTCAGAACGGACGATTATGCCGTGTTTAATTTCGCGGCTCGTCGTGTTTCGGCGTGATTATGGATAGTGCTGCGCTTTCATGTTGTATACACATACACCCCCCGGTTCAAGTGCCTAGCGTCCGTTTCAGTCAGCGAATGAGCAGCCCTGGAGAGCGAAAAACTTATTAAAAAGCAATGGCCAGCGAAGATTCTGGAGTCATCATGCGCCGTTATCGAAATGCACTGGTTTCTTTGGGGTTATGCTTACGTTCCAACAAGTCACGATCTCTCTGCTTGTGATGTTCTGTCTTGATGCTCAGAAGTTGTGAGAGACTTTCTCAACGTTGCGCGTCGCCAAACATGAATAGTCAAGACATCTCAACAGCACGATGCTGCGCATTGAAAGAAAGAAGTTCTTCGTTTGGATCGGAAAGGCGTCTTGCATGCCCGATCACAATGTTGATACTCGCCCCCCTGAGAACGCGTTTGTGCTTTCCCCGCCCACTAGCGCAAAACACAGACGCGTCGCAACAAGACGTCATAAGGATGGGGTGATCGCAATGCCGCCCTTTCTCATCTATCTCTACTATTTTCCTCTGAAACTGCATTTTCGCCACCTTAGTGCGTTCCGACGACTGTCGCTGTATATTGTCATTGGAATACAATCACATCAGGATCGCGCAGTTCCACAACATGGCATATATGAACCCATACCCGATGCCGACTTTGGAGAACCCAACTGCGTCTTACCCGCCCATGTCGAACCAGCCTATGCGGCATCCGCCTATGTCGAACCAACCTATGTCGCATCAGCATATGTCGAACCCGCCTCCTATGCCGCACACAATCATTTCGAATGCGCCCATGCCAAACCCAACTGTGTTAAACCCGACTACCTCGAACCCCACTATGCCTAACCCGAGCATGCAAATCATCGATGATGACGAAATAAGTTTTGAGCTTGAGAACAGGCCTGTGACGGAGAGCTGCGATGTCTTACGGTATGCGATTTTTCCTCTAGTGACAATGTGCGCGTTGCGTGTTTCTACGCCGCCACCTCATACAAAGGGAAAAAAAAACGAACAGGTCTAGAGCCTACATCGATGTTAGGCCACCTACTTTGTAGGTTTCTATGTTGATATAGGCTGCAGACCTGTTCAGTCTTTTCCTAGGTTGACGTGCCGCCATGAACATCTCCGATTCTCCATGATCTGCGTACAGTATCTGATTTGTATGCAGGCGTAAGATACGCACCTTGATTGACAATGGCGAAATGAAAGTGGGCGAGTTCCAAAAGGCAGTTGGCATTACGCCCAATGCGTACTCGCGATTCATGAGCCAGCATGGGAAGGACAAGGGAGTTGAGTCTTCTGTATATCCGGCAGCGTACGCGTTCTTCCAGCAGCGCGAGATGGCGGGAATCAAAACGACTGCAAACAAGAAGGCGAAGAAGAATGAAGGAGTCGCGGCGAAGGATAGTGTGCCTAGTGTCGATGATGTTGAGCTGGATTTCGAGAAGGAAGATAAAGTACCAGTGTACGGTAAGCTTTCGCACCACCATGACGGAAGAGACTTGAGGACTGACACGCTGATAGATACATGCGACGACGTCCGCAAGAAGATCAACGTACACCTCAAGAAACCCGGTGTAACCCAAGCTGCGTTCCTTCGCGCAGCCTCAGCGTCCTTCCACAATCCACCCAAGACGCTCAACGCGCGCCAACTCTCTGCTTTTCGCAGCAAGAAAGGTGCTTTGAACGGCAACACATCTGGCATCTACTATGGTTCGTACGTCTACTTTGAGAAGCTACGCATCAAAGAAGGGAAGCCCAAGAGCAAGAAGAGGCAGGAGATGGAGGAGATACATGCCAAGGATGGCGGAATCGACACAAAACATATGCAGGACCGACTCACTACCCTGGAGGGTGACCATTGGCACCATGATGCTTATGGGAGAACGATTCTCAACGGGGAGATTCTTGAGTAGAGGTTGGGCGAATGCCCTTTGCCTTGTAATATAAGTGTTCGATGTGTCGTGGTAATAGAGTGGTATGTACAAGTGACGTCCAGTGTGTGTGGATATCTGATGGACCCAACGCCGTAAACGCCTATGCTTGATTGTGTGAAGCCGCCGAAGTAGTGTAAAGCGCTCATAGTGTGGCTGCTGCCTCAACAGCTCCAGCCAGCTTGAACGTTTTCGGACTCGAAAAGACGATCTCGACGGGGTATTTCCATTCCATAAACTTGGCCCATCCTGCAAAGATGTTAGCTACCTGTCATCTATGCGGTCATCTAGCCTTGAAGATGACGTACCCCAGTATGCGGCCTTCCTGCCAAAGTATTTCCCCAGATATGGCACCATGACCATTGTCAACAGCAGCTCCAATTGCTGCAGCGACTCTTTCCATTCCCTGTCCGCATCTGACATGTATTCTTCCTCATCGGCTGAGGAGCTTGTTGCCGAGGATGGTAACGAATCGATCTCGTCGTTGGAGGATGGCTCGATGAAGCTCTCGCTATTGCTCAGGGACATGGTGGCGGTGATGTTGGATCGTTGACAGGAGAGGGTGGTGGGTGTATGACTGGATCGGCGGACTACCGTAGCAGCATTGGCGATAGTGACGGAATCGCGACGGCTGTGGTAGAGGCGCGTTCGGTGAATGGTGTCGGAGCGCTCCAGCCAATGAGCGGAGGTGGGGCTTAGCGGCAGCCGGCACGTGACGCAAATCTTGGCACTCAGCGTTCGACTCACACATGTGTTGCGGCGAACTTTGGGGTGACCGCCTGCCTAACTCTTCGACACATCACGCCTACATATCACTACGTACTCCGAATCGATACCAGAACATCCCCAGAACTCACTGAAGATCGAAAACACGAGTGCAACCGCAATCATGGCTGATTCTGTACGTCACAGCCCCACGTTCGCTTTCGAAATATCCTGTGCCTTGAAAGTGGGCTTGCTGCATGCCAGCTTGCTAGCTACGATTTATTTCTACTTCCCTACAAAGAGCGACATACTAACGGACATCTACACAGGCCGATCTCCCTGACCGCAAACCCCGCAAGTCGGTCCAATTTTCCGAAGGTGCTACGATTGTCGACAGCAACGGCGACGTTACCGAATCACTAGAGATGAACGGCGACAAGGACTCTGCTGAGGGCCACGCCGCGAGTGCTGGTAAGATGGACCACACATTGGAAATACATCAGTCACTGACAAGCGGGGCTACAGGCGACGACAAAGAGGTCGAGGAGGTCACCGACATGTTCGCTGATCTCGCAAAGAAGGTGAGGCGCAAAAGACATGCGCGATTATCAACATTTTGCTGACAAGATACAGAAGAAGAAGAAGTCCTCCAAGAAGAAGGAAGGCGAGGAAGAGGACGGCGCAGAGGGCGACTTCGCCGCGCTGAAGAAGAAGAAGAAGTCCAGCAAGAAGAAGGTCGAGGACGACTTCGAGGCCAAGCTCGCTGCCGCCGGCGGCGACAAGCCCGAAGGCGAGGAGGAGGTCGCTGCTCCTGAACCCGAAGTACAAGAAGGCGACATGATGAAGGGCACCGGCATCTGGGAACACAACTCGACGACCCCCATCTCGTACAACCTCCTCCTGAACCGCTTCTTCACGCTCCTCCACGCACAACATCCCGACCTCGCCAGCTCGGGCACAAAGAGCTACAAGATCCCGCCCCCACAGTGCATGCGCGAAGGAAACAAGAAGACCGTCTTTGCCAACCTTGCTGAGATTTGCAAGCGTATGAAGCGTTCCGACGAGCACGTTGCTCAGTTCCTGTTCGCTGAATTGGGTACGAGCGGTTCGTTCGCCGACCAGAAGCGCTTGGTCATCAAGGGTCGTTTCCAGCAGAAGCAACTCGAGAACGTCCTCCGACGATACATTGTCGAATATGTCACCTGCAAGACCTGCCGCTCGCCCGATACCGACCTCTCCAAGGGTGAGAACCGTCTCAACTTCGTCACCTGCAACAGCTGCGGATCGAGACGTTCGGTACAGGCCATCAAGACTGGTTTCTCGGCCCAGATCGGAAAGAGGCGGAGAATGGTGGGTTAAAGGAATTGATGTTATGCGCTTTACGATGTTCAATGTTATGCATGGCTTGGGCTGGGGATTCTCGATCAGCGGGCGCTACGGCTGTTGCTGTTATGACGCTTTTCGGCGGTATGAACGGTCATGATGATTCAAGCAATGTCTGTGGAAGGTTCATGTACATTGAGATGAGTCAGAAGATACAGTCTAATAGACGTCGAAGAGAACTTGCTCAGTACGTGCGTAATGTATGATAGCTGATATACGCGCTGGGGAATAAGTTGCAGACTAGCATGTGAGACATCGTGGGCGCTTAAGTCGGTCGCAAGTGGACCCTGATAGCTACGGTGCCTCCCGGAGCTCCCCTGCATCGTGGAGGCATGCGAACATGTTTGTTTCTGCCCAACTCGAATTCCTTCGTCCAAAATAGCTGCACACGCATGAACGAGTTTATGCTATTCTCTTACTCACCCGTGGCACAGGCTTGGCGCGTAGGCCAGAGCGAGGGAAGCGGGGCGCTGATTCGGCGGCTCGAGAGACCCCGCTAGCCAGCAGCTGCGCGCTGGAGGCTGAGCAGCTTGACCAAGGAGACACCAACGGGGCGCGCGGTTAAAATGTCTATACTGCTTATGGTGCTGATGCTTCCGTAGACTAATCTAATCCCTTCTCCTCTCCTCTCCTGTCTCCTACATTGCGCGTGGTTGCTGCTAACATCCCCTTACCTTGTTCCCTGAGACCCAACTGCAGTCGCGTCAACTCGTCGCCTTAGGATCGCAAGCTTGAATATGTCGGGATATCAGGGAACTCCACCACCGGGCGGGAACTACTACCCTCGTGAGTCGCATGTCGCATTGTGTGTGAAAGTAAACTGACGAGAAGTAGCACCGCCAGGTACATCAGCACCATCTACATTCGTCCCGTCATATACCGAACGCTCCTTCTCCAGCCTTCCAATACCACAACACCGCTCCTCCTGAAAACACCTCTAACATATGCCAGACCAACAGGGTCAGCAGCAGTACTATGCGCCTCCGCCAGGCGGCCAGTCCTACCCTCCACCACCCACATCCCCTCCCGCACACCAACAGCAGCAACAACACTACCCACCTCCGCCAGGGGGGAATGCCGCTCCACAACAACACTATGCGCCGCCTCCTGAACAACAGCAATATGCGCCGCCACCTGAGCAACAGCACTTCCCGCCCCCAGGCCAAGCGCAATCGCCGCCCCCGCCTTTCCAGCAGCAGCAGCAACAGCAGCACCAGCCGCCACAACAACAGCCACAGCAACCGATGAGCCCCGGCTTTGGTGGATTCCCTGGCGGAAGCCCGAGCGCGACTCCCTCGGGATATCCCGCTGAGAAGACTGGTCATCCAGGCATGGGCCATCAGTCGCAGATGAGCCAGCAGAGCATACCCCAGCAACCGCAGTACGTGGGCGCGGGTGCGGCAGCACACACATCACCCGCAAGTGCCTCAGCAGACGACGTGGGAACTTTCAATGGAGGAAGTTATCGCGTGAGCCACAGGGACACAAACTCCATTCTCACAGTGCAGTTAGCCATTGGATGTCCTTTTACTGCTAAACCTGGTGAGTCTTCCACTACGATATCCGTACTTCGCTACTCTAGGGAGTGAAAGATGCAAAGGACGAATGACTAACACAACCCCAGGCGCGATGATAGCAATGTCCCACACCATGACGCTAAAAGGCAACCTGAAGTTCTCCCTGAAGAAAGCCCTCATGGGCGGCGACATGTCCAAATCTACGTACACGGGTCCTGGTGAACTCCTCCTCGCTCCCCCTTCCATCGGCGACATCACAATCATCAAGCTCGGTGGAAAGGAGACATGGTCGGTGGGCCGCGACGCGTTCCTGGCTTGTACACAGGGTATTGTGACAGAGTATAAGAGTCAGGGGATCGGCAAAGCCATGTTCAGTGGGGAGGGACTGTTCGTGTACAAGATTAGTGGGACGGGTGTGCTTTGGGTGACGAGTTTTGGCGCGATTATCAGGAAGGATGTAGGTTTCCATTCATCCATCACCATGCCAGATTGACGGAGTGCTAACGTCATTGATTCCTCCAGCTTGCTGCCAACGAGAAATTCATCATCGATAACGGCCACCTCGTCGCGTGGAACTGCAAATACGTCCTCGAACGTGTTGCTAGTGGTGGTATCATCAGTAACATGACGGCCGGTGAAGGCCTTGTATGCAAATTCACAGGACCGGGCACTGTTTTCATGCAGACGAGGAATGCGGCGGCGTTTGGGCAGTGGTTGGCCGCGAATGCTGCTGCGCCGTAGGCCGCATGTCAAACATGATGTATGATGATATGGGATAGTGGAGTTCAATCATGAATCAGAATAATTGATACCACCTACCTACCATCTACTACAATCTAAAGCCACAGGATTAAACAAACCCCCCAATCCACCCCTTACTTCGGCGCCTCCAGATTCTGCACTCCCTCCACCCTCTGCACAACCCCAAACCTCTTCCTCCCCTGATCAAACACCGCATAAACCCCCTTCAACCACGTATCGCCCAGAATATCAAACTCGCTCTTGCCCCTCGACTGAATCCCCCCATACTGCATCCCACCCCCACATTTCGCGAAGCCAAAATCTTCCTTTTGGACTTCAAACACCTTGTCACCGACCGCCAGCGCCAGCGTAGGTAAATCCGTGACTTTAGTCCCCAGCGGGAAAACCCAACCCTGGTGCGCTTTATCGAACACCGCACCAGGAATGGTACTGTATATCTTCTCGCAGAGCGCATCATCCAGTAGCGCTAGTGTAGTTCCTGTGTCTGCAATCGCCGTGTTTCCAGGTGGTCGTTGTATGCTTTCGCCGTTTAGCACGGCGGTGGGCGAGGGGAACTGCTAGAACCCGCGTGAGGAGTCGATGGGGACGTAGTGGGGTTCTGAGACGCCGCAGCGGCGGAGGACGGTGTCGTCGATGTAGCCGAATGTGTAGAATGATTCTCCGTGATCGGCGTCGGTGGTGTCGCGCCAGGAGCCGAGGTAGCAGGTGAAGAGCTCGCTGGAGGAGGGGATGTCGGATTGGGAGATCATCTAGAGGACAGGCGTTGGATTAGCAGTGTGTTTATGTGTTGGTGCAGAAACGGCAGGAAGGTGGAATGATGGAAGAACGAGAATGGAGAGAAGGGAAGAGAACTGACGGATTCAACAGGCGTAGCCACTTTCTTCGGCTTGACGGTATTGATATGTCCGAATCCTAGACCTAACAGCCCGTCTCCTGCGCCGGAAGTAAACTGCGGACTGAGTTTGTTGGCGAGTTCAATCGCTTGGTTCTCGATGCATAGGCCGCCGAGGGTCACGTTGTCTGTGCCGACGATGCCGGAGGCCGTAGAGCCTGTGTGTCGTAGTCAGCGAAGAGTCCATTATGTGGTAAGACTGATTGAACGAGTGAAGGCAAGAGAAGGGAAGAAACTCACCATCCCCATACCTGATCCTCCAGCTCGCACCCTCAACCTTCTTGAACGTCTCACTAGCCTTTGCATCAAAAACGTTGTGTTTCGTCTTTCCATTCACCGCCGCCTTCTTCGTCGCAGGATCCAGCAGGGTAGACTATACCTACAATCACAGATCGTATCAGTCTATCGTCACCCAACCATAGCCAAGTGGAATAGGTAACGGTACCCAAAGATCACTGCTCCCAGTATCAAAATGCAAATTCATCACCTGCGGCGGCGTTCCAATCTCCACGGGACAAATATACAACGCGTCATTCTGTTGGTCTTCCGCTTTGACCTCCCCCGGTTTGCCCTCCTCTTCAATTTTCCTCAAGACAGGTTTGGTTTCTTTTTTGGCGGCGGGTTTGAATAGGTTCTTCACGGATTTCGTGGCGACGTCGAGGACTTGGAAGGGCCCTTCGGTGGTGGGTGCGAAGTCGTATTTGCGGAGGAGGGAGGCGTAGGATTTTAGGCCGGCGCGTTCGCAGGACGGGTTGGGGAGGATGGATATGCGTTTTAGGTTTGACATTCTTGGAGGTGGAGGTGGGTGGGCGGAAGGTTGGGGGTTTGGGCTATGGTAGGAACAGAGAGATATATGGTAAGAAGGTGGTATATAGGTTGATCAAGATGAGTCGCTTTCAGGGCGTAGCAATAGTATTAGGGTTGTTTTGAGGAACGGAGAGCGGATGAGGAAGAGGGCGATGACAGTTGAAGCCATGCGCCAACCACCTGCCGGTGTCACAATGCGAAGCAGGAACATGCGGTCAACCACGACCAGCTCTTGCTCACAACCCATCCTATGTATTCCTTCCCAACCACAACGTCTACGCTTAATCAAAAGTTGTCTTCTTGCCCTGCGACTCAACAATCGCTTGACTCGCCCTCTGGGTACTCATATGAGCAGCACCACTCTTGATATTCCTCGGGTCAACCTTTCGCTTGCCACCCCGTCCGCCGTTGCTCTCTCCAAAGTCTTGCCTGCCTCCTCTTTGACCTCCTCCTCCCCTGCCAAAGCCTCTCTCGCGACCTGTATTCTCTCCATCCGCACCCTCCTTCTCATGGCCAAACCGCTTGTGGTACCTGGTATGATTGTCTTCGGCGAACTCGCGACGCAACTCTCTGCCCATGAGCTTATTGACTAGCCATTTCCTTTGCTTTACGGGTTTGCTGGTGTCGACCTCGGAATCGCTCTCGTCCTTGTCCTTCTTGTTCTTGAAAGCAGATGGATCTTTGAAGACAAAGCCCTTGACCGCTGCTGTCGCAGCTTCCACGTCCCTGAAAGTCACCCAGGCAAAGCCCTTGCATTTGCCAGAATCCTCAAACGTTGCCATGTGTATGTTGTCGATTCTTCCACATGGTGCATAGTGGTTCTTGAGATCCTCTTGGGTAACGTCGAAGGAGAGGTTTCCGACGAACACGCGCTTGTTGGGAGGGTTCTTCGGTTTCGCATCCTTGGCTCCACGTCCGTTATCCTGAGTCTCTTCCGTCTTGGGCTTGTCTGGGCGCCCGTCGAAGCTCTTTGCATTCTTGATCAGCAACGCGCGGTTGTCCATCTTCATCTCCGTCAAGGCAATCGCCGAGTACATTGACAGCTCAGTAGAGAAGTCGACGTATGCGAAACCCTTGTTCATTGGCTTTGTAGTCCAGCTCGGGGGTGGCGGCCTCGTGGGAGGGGGCATGTGTATGCGTGTGATTTGGTCGTCGGGGATCTCGGTGTTGTCCGTCAAGAACTTTCGTAGCGACTCCTTCGTGGCAGACCATGGCAAGTTGCCGATCCATACACCGTATTCCGAGCGCTTCGCGGCATTCTCCCTGTCTTCGGCTGACTTTGCGTCTGTCTTCGCATCCGTCTTCGCGACCGATGCTTCTCCGTCTGCGTCGGCGGCGGGTGTCGGGTTCAGCTTTGCTTTCTTTGCTTTACGAGCGGCTTTCTTAGAGGCGGGTTCGGGGAGGTTGACGTCGATCTCGAGTTCTTCGGGCAATGCTTCGCGCTTGCGCTTCTTTGCTGGTGTCTCGGCTGCGTCGCTGTCGGACTCTGCAGCTTCAGCCTTTATCTCGGCCCTCGCGCGCTTCTTTTCTTTCTTTTCCTTCTTGACCTTTTTCTCCTTCTTGTCGCGTCGCTCCTTCTTGGAGACAATGGCAATCTCTTCCGCCGAGGACATCTCTGTATCTGACGACATTGTAGTGCGGGTGGTGTTGCGTATCGATACTTTGCGGCTCGAACTTTTTTCTGGGGCACTTTTCGCTAGCATGGCCGCGCTAAAAGACCCTGGCTTAGTCATGCTCCACCCGCAAACGATCAAGATATAGCGCATGTGTTGTCAATCAGACTTTGCATTCGTCACATTGTTACAAGAAGCGTATTCAAGAAAACTACCATTGATTTACTACACATATAGAAGACATGGAAGGAAAGATCAAATTGAGCCAAGTAGGAGAGCCGTAACCGAGTCAGAGGCAGTGAAGCACCCTACTCACATGTCCCGTCGAGGTGTATCGAAGCGCGCTCCAGCGCCTTCTCTGTGTAGGGAATGTTGTGTGATCGCGATATCTCGCAGGCCATTCCTTTTGACGCCCCCAGTACCCAGAAATTCGAACGCTTTAGACACCAACCAGGAACACTTTGCCTACCTTTGTGCTCACGAAATATGGCAGCTTTCGCTGACGCCTATCAAACCACCTACTGCATCTCTTCATCGCTGGCATCGAGGATGTCGTACTCCTCATCGGTCATGAAGCCATCGTCTGACATAAGGGCGACACTCTCAGCATCCTCGAAGAACTCGTCATCTGAAGCCACGGTGACAGTGCGTGCAACGGTGCTCTTCTCAGATGGGGAGGCAGGCTGAGCTGTGGTAGATGACTCGTAAGTGCTGGACTCGGGAGACTCCTTGTCAAGCTGAGGGAAGATCATGCCGGAAGCGATGGGCTCAGATGCAGACTGCTTCTCCTCGACTGGGAGTTCGGCAACTGGCTCTTCGACCTTGACCTCCTCCTTGGGAGCAGCAACAGGCTCCTGCTTGATAGTAGCAAGGGCAGCCTCGTGTTCCTTGCGACGGTTCGCCTCCTCGTGCACCTTGCGGCGGCCCTCCATAAGACGCTCCATGGCAGCCTTGCGTACACGCTGAACACGCTCCATCTTCTGCTGATCCAGCTGTTGCTGCAGAGAGTGGTGTGCATCCTTCATCTTCTGCAGTTGTTGTTGCTGAGTGTGTTGCATTTGCTTCATGCGCTCAGCCCTGGCCTGTAGGAGGCGGTCGTACAGAGGGTTCGACCTAGGAGCCACCTCGAACGTGGTGGCTGAGCCGGATGCGGGAGTAGGAACCTGGACTGGCATGGGGATAGCTGGCTGAGCGGCGACAGGCGAGGGCACGGCAACGACTGCAATGTCACACCAGAGGCGATGGCCGAAGGGCATACCCTCGGGGGTCTTCAGGCGCCAGTAGGAGATGGCAGTGCCCTCGCGCTGGGGTGCCTTCATGAGAACACGGAATTGGGCTTCCTCGCCAGCCTCGACAGTGTGGCCAAGAACGTTGCTCTCGCTAGCTTCAGCAAGCTCAACGTGGCTCAAAGGTCGGGTGTTGTCGATGTTGAGCATGTTGTCACCGCCAACATGTCGGACGCTGCAGCCGCGCGGCCATGCGTTGGGGCCAGGGTTGCGAAGAGTCCAGACCTGAACAAACTGGTGGCCTGCACAGATCTTGGAGCCATCAATGATGGTGTCCCGGATGAAGTGCGCGTCGAGGCCCTCGGTAGCAGTCTCTGACCTAGGAATGGGAATAGCCTCGGTCTTGACTGGCGCCTTGATCTGAACAGGTACGGCAGGCTTCTCTTGTACCGGCTCAACAGAGTCGACAAGGAGATCACGAATAGCAATCTTCTCCTTCTTGACCTGGGGCTCGGCGGAGGGCTTCACGTCGACAATGGTCTGGACCTGGGTCGCAGCATTGGTGGAAGGAGCGACTGGGGCAGTCTCAGTTGAGGTAGATCGCCTATCGCACATGCGGTCGCCGAGTCTAGCCATCGACTTACGCTGCTTGTCGTCGTTGAGTGTAGTAACGCTAACGCTGCGCACAGGCGTCTGGAACTTGATCAGCGGGTGGGTGTGGTTGTGCTTGTTGCTGGGATGGGCCTCGCAGTTCTGGCAGAAGTCGGTATCGTGGCAAACAGCGCACTTGTAGCGGACGCCGTCAATGTACGACAGATTCTCCTTGTCCTTGCAGAGAGGACCATCACAGTAGATGCCGTAGTGGCGGTTTGCGCTGTTCAGAGGCTCAGCCAATGGCTCGTAGATGGGTACAAAGCGATGACGGGGGTGGATGAACTTGGCGTTCTTGAGGCAGTCGGAGCAGTAGTCCCAGTCTGGGCAGTTCAAGCACTTGTGACGGACACCGTAGATGAACTTGTCGCAGCCATCGCAGACGGCGTTGTGGCGGACGTTCCTGCCAGAGTTGCACAAGAAATCGGCCAGGGTTGGCAGAACGGTCTCAGACGTGGCAGGCTTAAAGGTGTGGCCAGGGTGGTGACCGTGCTTGTTGCTAACATGGCAAGTGAGGCAGAGGTCGTAGTCTTCGCAAGGAACGCAGGTAACGAATTCCTTCTCGGGGAGGACCTTGACGCAGCAGTTGCAGGTGCGGGTTGGCTCCTCTTCGTATGTGACGGACTGCTTCTCATCGGTAAAGGCACCTGGAATCTCCTGTTGTTGGGGCTCCTCGGTCTCGGCCTTGACCTTGGGTGCGATGCGCTGGGTGGTGCTGTTGACGACGCTGCCGTTCTTGACGAAGCGCTTGACCATCCAGTGTCCGCTTCCGGGGCAGTGGATGCCGTTGTCTACGCAGGCCGGGCAGAGATCGTAATCACCACCGTCGCATACACTGCAGTGGAAGTGCTCGTCCTCCATGGGCTCGTTGCAGTTGTTGCAGTATACGACCCACGAAGTGCACGCGTTGCTCGGCTTGGGGCGGAATGCGAGACCGGAGTTGTAGTTCGCAGTTGCGAGGTTGTTGAAGAAGCCTGTACACTGCATTAGCCGATGATCGTGCGACATGGATATGAGGAATCGTTGCTTACTCTGACGAGCAGTGAAGGCCTGCGGTACGGGAGCCTCGCCGTCAGCATCTACTGTCGTTGGTGGCGATACAGGGCTGGTGCTTTCGGTGGGCTTGATTTCTGGGGAGCGGGCAATGACCGGAGAGACGGGAGCGCCGCCCAGTGGAGTGAGAGTCTCGGTGCTCACGGGGTGGGCAGTGGGCTGGTAGTGTCGGACGACGTGGTTTGGCGCTGGTGTAGGTGCGGGCGCAGCCACGGGCTCTTCGCCGGGGACGGTGGCCCTCAGACGCAACTTGAGCTTCGCCTTTGCGGCGCGGAAGAGCGTCTTGTAGACCTGGGGCTTGTCGGCGTCGAGGGTGACATACGACGCGGCTGAGTCGGAATAGCGCTCAAAGACGACCTGCTCACCGGCTTCAAGCTGAAGAACACTGCGGAGCTAAACATCACATATCAAGTCAGCATCGTGATTCCCGAGCGTGTTTGATCGTACGTCCGAGCGACCGATCCGATCGCCTAGACGTGACAACCTCGGGTTATAGAAAGTCACGAACCTTGTCGGGCAACACGTGAGCTCCGAGATCCTTCAACGGCAGCTTGAACTTCTTCGTCTGGCCGCGGAACAGGACCTTGACGACGATGGGCGTGTCCAGAGTCACGGGGACGTTGTTAGTCGCCGCCATGATTGGGCGAGTGAGGCTGGCGATGGGGGGGGAGTAATAGTCAGAGCGACTGCAGCTAGCTGGCCGCCGCTGTATTGAGACAAAGAGGTGCAGCAACTAGAGAGTTGTCGCTGTCGAGGTGGTTGATGGAGAGTTGATGGCGGAGGTGGAGCAGGTGAGACGGCGGCGGAGCTGGAGGTGTAAGTAGTAGCTGCCTAGTGAGTGGGGTCAGTGCAGCGTTAGTGGACGCCGGGGGCGCGCCAACTCTATCGCAGGTACACCGGATTGCCAGTGCTCGCGTCGCAGAGGGCGAAAGGCTGATATTGGCGCCTGGGATCACTTTTCTTATGAACTGATGGTCCGACGGCCTACTCAATTATGTGTCAAGGCACTTCTTTGATGCTTTTCCTCGTGTTTGAGCTCCGGATCGGCTGATTCTTGTACTTCGAGTGGCCGAGTGGTTCGCTACCACACAAGGCTTCCAGACACGTCGTCAGCCGTGAGGAGCCGCAAGAATTCGCCCGATTAATACTGCCTTTACCCACTCAATGACTGCCTCCGAAGAGGCTATTGCTCGAGATGATGACGCCATGGTTCAGCCGCACGTGATACTGGAGCGCTCCCGTGCACCAGCTGATCACCGAGATAGCGGTTTCACTGCGATAAAGAGGGCGCTAGCGCAGCGCTCCCGAGCTGCTTGATGGTGGCCGAGAGCCACCGACGTGTCTTGTCTCGCCTCACTTGACGGTTTCGTGATGGAAGATTACACCGCAAGTACCTCAAGTATAAATATGACGATTCCGCATTCCCACTATTCTTTGTGTGCAGCCGCTCCAATTCGCGGCGAAGAATGGCCGTTGCGATGATAATGGAATGAGGCGAAAATACCAACACAACTTGGCTTGTGCAGTTGTTTGCATAGCGAGTATTGCCTGGGATAACATTTACATTCGGCAATTGCATGTCAAGCCAAAGATGTTCGTAGGATGCAGACGGTTGTTGCATAAATGATGAAACCGTCTATGATCGGAAGGCATTCTTCAGAGGCGCCAGCGAATGGGTACAATTATTTTGCAACAAAGCCTGAGCATCAACTAAGCCGTTCGTATTTTCCTGAGCTCGCCATGGGATTGAGTTCCATAGGCCTGGCAGTATCGAATCGTTTCTCATTTTTAGGGTATCAAGTATAAACCTCCACATGCCTGTCCAGCACATCCATGACCTCTCGACAACAATTCTGACTTCACATCGCCATCCCACTCACTTCCTCCCCTCAACCATAACAATATGATATCCCTCACTCGTCTTGACCTCCCCAATCTTCGGGCTCGCCGTCGTACTCGGCTCCAACTCATACGCCACCTTCTCAAAATCCTGCATGAGACTCCCTCTAACCTTCCAGCCCAGACTGCCCCCTTGACGCGCCTTATCCTCACTCATTTCCCTGGCTACCTCGTCGAATTTCGCGCCGTTGCGCAGCTTCTCGAGAGCTTCTTCCTTTTTCGAGTGCTTTTCGCAGAGGATGTGTCGCACGTTTATCGAGGTCGCGGGCTTGAGTTTGCCTTTTCCTCCGCCGGCTTCGGATTTGCTACCGCTGTCGTCTTTGGCTTGGCCTTTGCCTTTGTTTTTGGGTGCCATTCTGCCGTGGGAGTGTAGAGTAGGGCGTAGACGTGAGCGTGTATCAGGTGGGACGCTTCGCGGATGCGGCTATTACGGCTGGCAAGGGCGCAATCGGGACCAGAATTAGTTGGTATCGAAGGCTGGGATCGGTAGTTGGTAGACTGGAGTTCCAGACCTATCACCTCGAGGTATTCGCAGTATTGTAAAGTTATGCGCGTGAGGAACTTGGATTCGTGAAAGTGTACCGGAGCTTGGAGCTCCCATGCGGGGCCACTGGGGCGGCCAGATGCGCCGAAGTGGGGTGAAGCCTGAGGCAACAAGGATTAACCTGGCACGATACGAGAGCGAAAGCATGATGCAGCGGATAAGATTATAGAGTTTCTTCGTCAATGGTTTGAATTTATCTCGTGATTGTGCACATCAATCCTCATTCATGGAGTTGCTGAGCACGCTATACTTCCAGGCCAGTCTCTCGCTGCGGAGCTGGACACTACATAACATATTGACAGGCGTAGTTTCCTGTAGCTTCCCCCAGGCGCTCTTGTTCTTCGTACAACATAGTACGACACGGCGCGGCAATGTGGGATCGTTCACATCCGAATAGGTATACAATCAGGGCCCCATATCCTAGCTACTTCATCCATTGCCGTTGACGATTGCGCGAGGCGCTGTGCCATTGATGCCGTTGTGCTCGCGCACCATGTCCATGAAGCTTTTCTTTGGTTTCGGCTTCTTCTCTGGCTCTTCGTCACTGCTGTCGACTAGATGGATTCGTCGTCTTTTGCAATCAGAGCGCATATGGCAGAGCAGCGGCCGTAGGGTTTCAATCTTCTCGACTTCGGCGTAAAGCAGCGACTCTTCCACCCAGTACAGGCCCTCCATAGCAGAGAACTGATGCTTAGCTTCCTTGATGCTGTCCTGGATCTTGGCGTAGTCAAACTCTGGCGAGCCTTCCATTGGGAATCGGGTGTCCTGGGCTAACAGCGCAATGTCATATTGGCGAAGTATGGCATCTCGTTGCGCGCGGCTCACGGGAATGCGCGACCATTCAGAGTAAGGAGCGTCGAGATGCGCCAGATCGAGCTCGGGAAGACCAAGTATGCCGACAGCCTGGAACGAACAGATGTACTTCCGATTTGGGATGGCTTGCGAGTCACCGAGGTCCTCAGCATTTGCCAAGAACAACGGTAGGAAGATAGCAGATACACCAAGTTGCTCCCCTGCGAAATGAAGCGGTCGATTGGTGCCTAATTCGCAGGCGCGTCTCAAAGCTCGGGGGAGCCTGGATATCCGGTCTTGACGTTCGAGCAGATCCTTCTGGCGTTTCGCTTCCTGGTCTGCTCGGCGTTGAGTTTCCTGTTCCTCTCGTATTCGTGCTGCTTCTGCTTCTGCTGCTTGACGCTGTGTCTCTGCTTCCGCTTCGGCTTTCTTCTTCGCTTGCTCGATCTCTTCAGCTTTGCGAGCCGCCTCCTCTGCTTCCTTCTGCTTCGCCTCGGCCTCAGCTGCAACTTCGGCGGCTTTACGTTTCGCTTCTGCCTGTAGCTTATGTTCCTCTTGACGACGTGCGCGCTCAACTTCTGGAGTTGCTATCCTTTCAGGCGGTACGGGTGTAGACTTGGCAGATGCTGTGGGCGTCCTCTTCACGCTAACATCGTCTGTTGATGCATCCGACATCTTTCTTTTCCTAATCTTGTCTTCAACGGTCTTGTATTTGATCTTGTTCTTGACAACCTTGCGTTCGTCTGGAGAGTCGATCTCGGGTGTCGGTTTGGCGCTGAGTGGTCTGCCTGGTTTTGTCCGGATCTTGACTGGCTGCTTAGTACCATGGTCCTCGTCGCTCTCGTCTGAGTGTGCTCGGTCCGGTCGTTTGGATTCATTGTCGTCTGATCGTGCTTTCACAACCTTCTTGACAGGCTTCGCTTCTTCGCCTTCGCTATAAGAACGCTGCTTGGCCTTCCGAATGGGCGGTCGTACGTCTTCTTCGCTCTCCTCTTCTGATGAATCGTCGTCCACAACGCGCTTTCTTCTTTGGTCTTCTCTGGTCGCCTTTTCCTTTCCGGACATGAGTCGTCGAGATTTTTGTGGTGCAGCAGGCTCTGTCGTCGACTTTACCAGCTGCGCGCGTTTTGCATTAGGGCGTGGGGAAGACGACCGTTCTCTTCGCGGCGACGTCTTTCTCTTCATGCGGTTCGCCGGGGCGTTTGGAGCTTCTTTCTTGACTCTCCGCGGGCTCCGGTGTGTCGTTTGATATTCCTCGCAGGCGCGCTTCAGCATATCCCTCTCTTCTTCCCACTTAGGACCATGTCGTTCCTCAGAGATCTCGTAATACGTCTTGTTGTCTTTGTTTCGGCGAGTGGGGTTGAAGTTGTCTTGCTCGAGAAGTAGTTGTATAATCTTGAGGTATCCTCGTCCGATGGCAACTGTCATGGGCGTTTCTGGGTGCTTGGACGGATCGGGATCAGCCTTGAGGCCACTCGCGAGGAGGATACTGAGGATATCGTAATGTCCACCTCTTGCTGCCGCAACGCCACAGGTAATATTCGGTTTGATATTACTGTTGATCAGCTCTCCCACTGCAAGGATGTCGCCATCGCCAGCCTTCTCGATCAACGTTTCCACGTTGAACTCGTTGTACAATAATCGCGATGCGGTCTTGGCCTGCTTCTGGGTGCGTTCGGGGTCGTTGTTGGACGTGTCTGCCCGTCTTCTCATCGCCTCTCTAAGCTCCTTCTCAATCTCCTCTGCGTCGTCATCTTCCGGGTCCAGCACATCAATCGCACGCTGACCTTTTTTGTTGGAGTGATGTGGATTGACCTTGCCCTCGTTGAGCAGCAGTTTGACGACATCCAGGTGCGAGTTCTCTACCGCATCGATAAGAGGAGTGTCTCGATCGTGGCTTTCACAGTCTGTTCGGCAGCCTTTGCTGATCAGGTATCGAACGACAGGCGCCCAACCGTGCAGCGAGGCTTTTTGTAACGGAGCGATACCGGCGTAGTCGGGCTGATTCAGTTCGTCGGGCGCGTCTTCGAAGGCTTCCTTGACTGCATCCAGATCGCCTCTTTCGCTTTCTCGAGCAAGACGCGTTGCGCCAAATCTGTCGACCTTCCGCTGGGGCATGGTGCGTGCGGGCGAGGTCAGCGCACGGTTGGTGGAGCGCTTCACCCGGGCGTGTTGGAGGTGCGGCGCAGACGTGGGCTGCGGTGATGTTGAGTGATCTGAACTCGATCCCGACCAATGCTCTTCTGTCGATAGAGCGAGATTGGTCACCTCGCGGCGCTTGCGGCCTGCGATACCCGTGACGGCGGATTGTGTTGACTGCGAGCGCTTGTGTGGGCGACCAAAACCTGGCGTGCCAGGCGAATGGGGCGGGCGCGCGTCCTTCAAGCCCTCGGTCCTAGCTT